GGAAAGTGTGGGTCTTTTACTGAATGAAGGAGGCAACCTAGTGACAGAGGATGCAGGAAAAGCTGAAGTACTCAATGCCTTTTTCACTTAAGTCTTCACAGGCAAGGTCATGTCCCAGACTTCTGTACCAAACTGACAGCACAGTTCGGGGAGGAGGTGAGTAGCCAACAGTGGCAAAAAACAGATTAGGGACTGTTTAGAAGAGCTGGACATGTACAAGCCCATGGGGCTGGTGCAGAGGGAGTTGGCTGATGTGATTGCAGAGCCGCTGGCCATCATCTTTGAAAACTCATAGCAATTGGGAGAGGTCCTGGATTATAGGAAAAGGGCAAATATAGTGCCCATATTTAAGAAAGGGAAAAAGGAGAATCTAGGGAACTACAAACCAGTCAGCCTTACCTCAGTCCCTTGAAACATCATGGAACAGATCCTCAGAGAATCCATTTCTAAGCTTTTGGAGGAGGAGGAGGAGAAGAAGATGATTAGGAACAGTTGTCATGGATTCTCCACGGGCAGGTCATACCTGACAAACCTGATTGCAATCTGTGATGAGATGACTGGGTCTGTGGATATGGGGAGACAAGAAGATGTGGTGTACCTTGATTTTAGCAAGGCTTTTGACTCCCACAACATTCTCACAGGCAACCTAAAGAAGTACACTGGATGAATGGACTGTAATCAATGGCTATATGTCTAGTTGGCAGCCAGTATCAAGTGGGTTGGTCCTGAGGCCAGTTTTGTTCAATATCTTCATCAGCAACCCAGAAGATGGCATAGAGTGCACCCTCAGCCAGTTTTCAGATGATATCAAGCTGGGGGGAGTAGTAGGTACACTTGAGGGTAGGGCTACTATTCAACGTGACCTAGACAAAGTGGAGGATTGGGCCAAAAGAAATCTCATAAGGTTCAATAAGGGCAAGTGCAAAGTCCTGTACTTAGGATGGAGCAGTGCCATGTACCAGTACAGGCTGGGGGCTGACTGGCTGGGCAGCAGCTTTGCCGAAAAGGACCTGGCGGTTACAGTGGACCGTAAGCTGAATATGAGCCCACACAGTGGCATTGTTGCCAGGAATGCCAAGAAGGCTAATAGAATACTGGGCTGCGTTGATAGGAGAGCTGCCAGCATGTCAAGGGAAGTGATTCTTTCCTTCTATTCAGCACTGGTGAGGCCACATCTGGAGTACTGAGTTCAATTTTTGACCCCTCACTACAGAAAGGATGAGGACAAATTAGAGTCTGGGGAGGGCAGCAGAAATGCTGAGGGGGCTGGGGTGCATGATTTATGAGGAGAGGCTGAGGGAACTGGGCTTATTTAGTCTAGAGAAGAGGAGAATGAGAGGGGATTTAATTAGAAGCCTTCGACTATCTGAAGGGTGGTTTGAAAGAGGATGGAGCTGGACTGTTCTCAAAAGTGATGGATGACAGAACAAGACACAACAGTCTCAAGTTGCAGCAAGGGAAGTTTAGGTTTGATATTAGGAAGAATTTTCTCACTAGGAGGGTAGTAAAACGGTGGAACAAGTTACCCAGAGTTGCTGTGGACTCTGTCCTTGGAGGTTTTTAGGACCCGGCTAGACAAAGCGTTGGCTGGGATGATTTAGTTGGGGACAGTGCTGCTTTGAGCAGAGTGTTGGACTACACGACCTCCTGAGGTCCCTGCCAACCCTAATTTTCTATGATTCTGTGCTG